CCCCAAAACCCCAAAACCCCAAAACCCCAAAATGCTTAAATTAATTGATAATCAGTGAATAAACAATAATCATATGATAGAAATCCAATCTTAATTCAAAAACGCTTTTTCTATTTACCGTAGTCAATGTAAGTCTCAATAAATTAGTTTATTTCTTAGTTTTTCTCTGCACCTCCATTATTTTTTGAGTTCTCATTATTCCTACTGGTTTGCTTGTGATCCATTCCTTAGCCTTTAGCTTCGTTGTCATTCTCATAGTGCTAGGCAAAGGGTGACTTGATAATGTCCCAGTTACCAGGTACTCCCTGCGCACTATTATTAAGTGAGTTCTCCTTTTTGTATTAAGAAATTGAGGGGAAGTGCTGGCTTTTTCTGGTGCGAGGTTGTTGCTATTGCAATTATTTCTTAGAAACATTATTCTGCTAACTTGTGGAGTTTATGCTCATTAGCAGTTAGTTATCCCTGGGGTATGATTCGTCGTTCATGCTTTTTCTTCCCTTACTGGTAATTGAAGCATTTTGATATCTCCTTGCTGTAGGGACGTAAGATGGAAGTTCCTGATTCTTGGAAACTGGCTACTGTGGACTCATTTGATAGTTTTTATGATTCGATATAAATTTCTAACCACCACTGCTTTCTTAATACTCATTATCTTAATTAAATCTATGTGCATGTTTGGTCTACTGAATGCTACTGAAGGGAAGATTCTAATGGCCTGATTAAGATTATAAGTGTTAATGCTGGTTAACCTGCCCAGGATAGATCGAATTGTTTAGCACTCTTGAAGAGCTCTGTTGCAATGAGTTGAATCCAAACTAAGTGTTCTGTAGAATAGTACTGCCAAACTTCATTAGGTTTTCAAAGTCTCTGATATGCAAACGGCCAAACTACACAAATACTCTGTCAAGAATCTACTTATAGTTGTTTTCACACTCTGCCAACAGCTTTTTGCCTTATTTCTCAGTCATCTCCGTGTAAAATGCCTTGCACTTAGGACTCTATGCCAGATGATACACCAACTTGCCTTGAATGACTTAATCCAAGTATTTTTCTGGTATCTTCACCGCAATGAGGTACAACTTGTATCTTGATCTTGAAACTTCTACTATGTAAAACTTAGGCTTGTATACCTTCTTTGTATTTATTTCATGAGGAAGTATCTCTCTGAAATCTTCTCTGTACAATACAATTCTCTCGGGATCAATATCCTAATGATATTTCAGATATAGTGGTCTGATAGTCTGGACATGCATCGCATTTGCTTGCTCAACTGAATCTTGTCTGACCATATATGATTGATATTGAGTCTACAGCTAAAGAGATGCCTGTGGGTGATGCTAAGATTCCTACACCTAATATTGATTGCTAAGATTCATATTACTAGCTCTTTGCTAACCATTCTCTTAAGTGTAATCATTGCTTTGCTGCTTGCTGTGAAAGTAACTCACAGTTTGGTGTAACTTTGGAATACTTTTCTGTTATTGCATCCTTTACTGTCCAAAATTAGGGTTTTACAAATCACTGTTAAGATTTCGTACGTTATCATCTATTGAGCCAAAAGCTGTGTCATCTTGCTGGCCCATAAATTCCTGATCTTTGGCTTTCTTACCTCTATCTCCCTTTTCGGCACTCCTGACCTCTTTGATCAGCTCCTCCATTTCATCATCAGTAACTATATCAACTGGAGGCTGGGTGATTAATTCACCACCTGAAGTGATTACTTCTTTTCTTGAATGAAATTCCATATAAGAGGGATTCTAGTTTAGTTGATTTGGCAGAATATAATGCTGATTCCTAAATTAGAGCGCCTTCTGGAATACACTTTGCCTTGATTTGACTGTTGAAAGTTTCTTCTACGATTTTCTAGCATCAAGCTAATCAGGGTACTCAGTTCTAAGTCTTAGTATTTCCTCACGTTTGCGATTAGCCTACTACCATTTACTAGAATCATAATGACTTTTTTACTGTCTCAATCGATCCAAAATTAGCTATGGAATAGATTTAATCTAATCATAATTTAGCTTACAGTATTTTCCTAATTAATCTTAGATAGATGTCTCTTCCTAAATCTCTAATTAAGACTACGCTTTGATACGCTATTGTCTAGTTTTCTATCGTTTTCACTGCTTTCTCTGCTTGTATTGTTTATTCCAGAGATTGTCTAATTTACCCTGGTAGCTCTTGGAACTGAAAAACTCTCTTCACTATTCATGATCAAGGTCATCTTCTCCAGAAGTATCCTATTAGCTCTCTCTATTTCTGTCAGTTTGTCTATAATATTATTGTTTATCAAGAATCAATCAGAAAATGGAAAATATATAGCTTTTATTTAACTTTTTTATTTGTGGGAGAATTATGGAGAAATGAAACTTACCTTCTTATAACTGGCGTTTCTTTGACTTTAAAAGTGGGAACTTCAAGCTATTTGGCCGAGTTGTATCAGTTTAGGCCTTTACGGTCTAGATCTTTTACTTGTGCAGTTCAAATTCATGGGCTTGCCACTTTTTCTTAAGTATTTTGCTCTGAAAAGCCTGACCCTCACTTCTTAATTATACTTTCAGCATTTTAATCAGTCACTTTATAATTTAATTTATTGATAATTATTAAAACTTTTATTATATTCAGATAATAAAGCATTAAACTCAAAACTCCTAGTTTTCAGTATCTCGTCTACTAATTAATAAGGAACTAACAGGCCTTTATCATTCAGCTACACCCTGATTCTCTTTCTATTCCTCTATTGATTCCTCTTGTTTATCAAAGTAGCTATTCATTAGTGCCCTAATTTGTTCCATATCCTGCAGCCTTGCCAGTTTCTCATTCATGCTGGAGTTCTCATCCTGAATGATAATGTTAATTAGCTTATTAATCTCGTTCACACCGTTCTTTCTCTTTTAGTCCATTAATTACTGAGTTTCCTGCACTCGCTTCTTTTCCTAGTCCTTAGGGGTTTTATTCTTTTTGCAGTCTGCTTTAACCTCTTCAACTGCTTCGTGCTTTTTGGTAAAGGCAACCTCATAAAATTCTTCCATAATCTCCTCCTTCTTTTTTTCTATCTCGGCTAAAGCTTCGGCCATCTCAGTATCATCGTCATCATCTCCCATTTCATCCTGTTGATCTGGGTCTCTATCAATGTCACACTCAAGATTCTTAAGAATCATGTTATCATCCAAATCATCGTTGCTTAAATTTGACAGATCGTTTCCACTTCCCTGCTTGTTAATAGGCGAAGTCTATCCTTAACCTAAATTTGTTAATTAGTCTGGGGATACTATGTTGGTTTTTATTTAAAATTATATTACTGTTAGAAAGATTTGGAGATTAAATATTCAGTTGATTGCTTTATGAAAAGTTGGTTTTATAGTTGCCAAAGCCTAGCATACCAGCATTACTACCGCTATCTTCGTTTTTCTTAATTTAACGGTCTAAAGTGATTAATATAAATCTGTGAATTTACTTTATTTCCTCGCCTTTAGTCTTTCTTAAAGACTCTCCTTTTGCGTGCTCATCTCAGACTTGATTATTTGCATCGCTTATTCTTATTTGACCTGCTACTCTTAAATCTTAGCAGCTTTGCTCTTATTAGTCTAAATTAACTAGAATTCTCTTTATTTTTCCTATCTGATTCTCTCCTCCTCTTCAAACTTCTCTTGCAGCCTCCTGGCCTCTAGTGCCTACTTTTCCTATTCTCGCTTTTTCTCATCTTCTTACTTTTTCACCTAGAGTTCATATTCCTGCATTGACTTCTTTATCGCGAAGTCTTCTTGCATTTGCATTATTGAAATTTGAGACGCTTTCTATGCTCTTATAAGGTTTATTTCATCTTGCTAATCTGGATTATCACCACCTTCATTGACTTTGATTAAAAAGTTATCAAGTAAAAGGTCGTCATCATCATTGCTTACGCCATTCTAGGCCATGTTGCCGCTATCATCCATATTGCTCAAACTTTTATCCTTTCTTTCCTCTAATTCATAATCATCGAATTTCAGATAATCCTCTTTTCCTGGTGTATGCTTATTGCGAATATGCTGTTTATTTTTGGGATCATCATCAGAGAGTTCAGCTTCTGAATCATCACTATCCTCCTCTTCTTCAGATGACGAGCTCTCCTCTTCACTACTATCACTCGATGAACTGTATGACCTCCTATTCTGGCCGTGACCCCTTTGCTTTTTCTTGAATTCCTTCTCTTCTGCTTTTTGCTTCTTTTCAATAATGCTTAGAGCATCTAACACATGCTGCTTAACCAGCACTGATTGCATCCTCAGATTCAAATCCTAGCATGTCTCATTATCATCTAAGTAGCCATAATACTCGATGGCTTGCTATAGGAAGTTTATATTACATCTATCCAATCTTACTGAGTAAAGAGCGGTGAGAGATTAGAGGAGTTCACTGCTGGTATTTTCTCGATGTCACTCGATTTGTTGTTCTATTTCTAGGACACGCTCGTGAAAGCGCTCTGGAAGACAAAAGTCTTTACTATTTTTCATTAATTAACAATTATTATCAATAATATATAAGCATAAATCATTATTAGGTTTTATTACTATAATTATGATAGAATGTCATAAGAGATTATATATTCATGAATCATAAGTCAGAAGAGTTTGCTTGCTACGATCCTCTCTCATTTCATCACTGCCTGGTTGTCAAGTATTCTTTTAATGTATGTGCTTGAAATCTCTCTTTTCTAAATTATGTCGGTTAGGTTTTGCTAAGATTGGTCTACAGTGTTGCTTTGACCTTGAGTGAATACCATTCTGTTTGAGGGAATCATGTTTGTCTTGCCAGCCAGAGCTCTAGTGGCTGAGGTATTTGTAGCTGATTGCATCAAGTTTTACTGCTTAGTCTGACTGTGCTATGGGAAAATATCCTCTTATTAAGAAAGTTATTGCTGATTTTTTCTTGTCAAAGATCTTGCTGCATTGGCAGATTTAGATTGCCTCACATTTCCAGCTGCTCTATTAGTGATTTCATTATTATCACCACCGCTCATGGTATTAGCAGCTTCATAGCCCTCCTCGATATCATCGCCTGAGTTCCTGGGCTTTCTTGATTGCTATTAAGTTCTCTTTCTGTAGTCGTTACCTGAGGCTGATGAGGTGGCCACTCCATAGACTCTATCTATGTCAGCAAGCACGCCAAGACCACCTTACTAAGGTATCAAGCTTGAGACTACTTCTTGGGCTACATTCTTTGTTGATGTTCTCAACAGGTCTTCTAATTAAATAGCAGTAAACTTTCTAATGATTGTAGATTTTTTGCTGATACTTTGCTTGAAACCTTCCTCAAACTCATGTAGTTTGCCCTCCTTCTTGTAAAGATACTTAATCAATCTACGTCTTCTTTCTTACATTTCATTTAGCCTACCTTCAAGTCTAAACCAAAAAGGAGAACCAGCAGGCTTATCTTATTATTAGTTCTCATTTCTTCTATCTTGAGAGTGCCACACATAGTGAGTGATAAACTTATCTAAGGCAACTTTCCAGTTATCCTAAAGTTGATCCTCTGACTACAAAGCGAGAATAGCATTCATAAGTCTTTCAACATATTCTATAAGAATATCATCACCAGTTATCAGAACTTTCTCTTGAGTTTACTTTGTCTCTTGGACTGGCTATTGAGATTAGTTTTACTGGACACCTTGATTTGTTGATTGGGATTTCGTTGTTTAAGTAATTGAGGAGTTAAGTGAAGGCTAGTTTTATATCTGCTACCCCTCCTATTTAATCTAAGTTTGGCCAGTTGCTGGTCTATCCTTTAAAGAGGCAAGTTGCTGTCTCTAAGCTCCTCTTGATGCTTAGGATTAACTGGATTATGCTGTATCATTCATTTACTCATAATTCTAAGAAGCACTAGCATTATTGCTGTAAATTTATTTAACTTCTTCTCTTGGATTTGGCTAATGAGTTGAAACTCTTTCTTATTGCTTATTTTTATATTGTTCATAGGAACCAGGAGGGATCTCTATTTTATAGCCAAGTTTCATGTCTGTTTAAGGTTTAGATTGAACACATCTCATAACCTCATCCGTGTAAAGCACTTTATAGACTAACTTATTGAATGGTCTTGGTCCATTAAAGTAGGAGTCATAAATTTCTGATCCTTTTGCTGGATAGATTCTTACAAAGTTACCTTTCTTTTGATATTCAGATAACACTTCTCTAATGTATTCCTTTTATCTCAAAGATGCCGCCTTTCTCAGAGACTCGTGAAGATTGGCATATTCTAGTTGATTCTCACTTACATACTTATCTATAACCTAATAGAGTTAAGCGCTTGTGGTTTAATGAAACATCTCATTTTAGTTGCCAGCAGTTTACAAGCTAGTGCCTTAGATACCTCCGCCTAGACCTCCCTTCTTGGTATTAGCTGATCCTTTGTAATATCCCTTCATTCTATGTTTGATTTTATTTAGTGATTCCTTCTTCCTATCGAATCTCTTTATCCCAATCAAATTGAACACATCTGATAGTAGAGTAGATTTGATAGTCATGTCTAATGGACTGTCTGTAGCTAAACTTGGACTGAGGTTTACTTCAAGAAGCCATGGCTTAAGATCTGAATCTATAAGAATATCAAACCCAAAAAGCTCAAAGCAGTTCGTTCTGTGCATTCCATTCTTTTTAATAGCTGAGGTGACATGATGTTCTCCACATATCAAGGTTTTCAGTAGAACATCATTAATTCTTGACCAGAGCAAGTTCATATCAATTCCAACTTACTCAAGATGCTTACAAAATGCACTTAGACTCCATTTAAATCCAAAGTCATCTTGCTCTGAATTTTCATTTTAGACGAAGTTCTCGTTCTTCTTATTAATGGAATAGTTTGTCAAGTGCATATACTTGTTATTTTTATTGATCTTAGAAGTGTAAGTTTCACTTGCAAACCTAGCAAGGCCTTCTTAAAATACATAGACTCTCATTGGCTCATAAGACGTAACTAAGACATATATTCTTAAATCAAATTTGTGGCCATTTATCAAGAGTGGGTTTGTAACATATCTGCTAATGACTGAAGTATCATCAACACTTACATCATTTATATCATCTACTATATAAATTCCTTTGCCCTAAGATGAATTAGCTGGTTTCACTATCCATATATTTTTCTTGCTGTCATGTTATTTAAGCTTTTGGTAATGTGCATAAAAATCGCCAAACTCATCTGGGAGAATATAGGTATCTGGGACAAAATCAAAGTTTTATTTTCCAAATCGTTCCTGCATTCTGACCATGTTATAGCACAATCTATCCTTTCTTGTAATCTCATAACTTGATGGGAAGTGGTTTATTTTTTAGAATTCATTTAACCCTTCGTAGAGATAAGATTTGCAACTGCTAGAACTCCAGAGAACATTCCATTCATGTGATTCAGTGTGAGTAAATCCATTGACCTCTAGAACAGACCTAACAAGCTTATTGTCAAATCTCAGCATCTTATATAGCAGTTCTGAGTTTTCTATATGATAAGATTTCTGATATCCACTGAATGGCTATGAATGAGTAATCATTTGATTTTCCTTGATATTTTTGAAGGAGATACATTCGTTTTCCTTGGTCCTTTGAGGTTAGTTTTGGTTTTGGTAAAAATTAGAGTTGGTAGACTGTGAATTTGAAGAAAAGAATCCTCCTGAGGCTGTAGATGAGGCGACAGTCTTATTGAAGGATGTTGTAGAGTTAGTAGTATTAGGAGTAAGCATTTTGTCCTCTTCAAGATCTTTGAGTTTGCCGAAGATCTTAAGCATTTGCTTTTGCCTTTCCTCTTCTTCTAAGTATGACTCAGGAAGCACGAAAACACGCTTTTTATTTACGAAATTGGAAGTACCTATTCATAAGTATGAGATGAATACACTTATTCTTACCTGCTCTGCCAGAAATAGTACAATCTACACCATTCCAAGTTCTTTTGAAGTTTGATTGGATATTTTTAAGTCTATCTAAGGCGCTCATTTCTTAGGGCTTTCTCTACACATTATTGTTTGCTATCGGCTCCTAGACATGATTAGCAGTGGGTCCTCCCCCACCAGTGTAATGAGCAGAGTACTGGTGCTATGAACCAGGATTAGATCTACAGTGATTGTGAATAAGTCAGTGAATAGCAAATTTAAATGAATTACTGTTGAGAGGGGTTGTGCTTTAAAACTTGATTGTCATTCAGGATTTCCCCTGCATTTTTCATATGATCTGATTAAGCCTAATTACTCAAATTGAGAATGCAACAAACTTACATATGAGATGTTGTATTTGTCGTTTCTGCGCTAGCTACTGCTCTATATCATACTGAGTATTAGACTATTTCAAATAAAGTTATAACTAAATAAAATACTTATTAATGCCATCTTATAATTTGTTTTAATTCGGAGCTGCTCCAAATATAAACTTCAAAATTTAATATGATCTCTTCTGAAAGTCTCTATACTCTACCTGGTTAATAAAACATCTCCACTTTAGTCGTCCTTGTCTTAGTAACTTTGCTCATGATGTAGTCCTCCCTCACAGTTTCTTTTAACAGTCATAGCAGATGACTTTACCTCAAATGATCTATCCTACTGGATTTACAGTGAATTCTTCTATATGTTGGTGTTGTATGTTTTGAGAGAGAGCTGCTGCGAAAAGTTTTCATGGGCGGAAAGAATGTTAATATCCTTAGGTAATTTAATGTCGTTGACTAAATTCAGATGCATATTATTGAAAACTTCTTGCTTCATGACTGTCTATGATCTGACTTGCTACTGCTCTATATCATACTGAGTATTAGACTATTTCAAGGGAACTTTTTCTATTTTCTAAAACAGAGTCTGAGAATCTTAAACTTCAATAGGCTTTACTGAGTCAGCTTTTTCACCTTCTTCTTATTTAGATTGAGTTTCCTCTTAATTCTAAATTAATTTTAGTTCCTATGACTCTTCTTTCTATCTGTTCTCTGAAAGTTAATACTCCACCTTATCCTAGAGTGTGGAAGCCCTATCATTAAATTGCTGTTATTGCTACCAGGCATTCAATTTATCTTGCTCAATCTTCTTCTTAGCTTTTGATTTCTTATTCTAAGTTGATGTGGGGCTTTCTATTTAGCTTTTTTTAAATTATATCTGATTATTCGACGATTAATACTAGCCACTAACTGGATCCTATAGATTTATAAACCTGTTTCTAGCTTGAGCATTTGAACTATGAGTCACTCTATCACCCGATTTTTCTCTTTACTACATTTAAGTCTTATAAAACTTATTTCTTTGCTTCCCTGAATCGGGGGTTGAGACTTTGTTTGACGGGTCTTGTTAAGCGAATCCATGTGTATATCTTTGACTTAGTAGAGATGAATTAAAATTCATATTTGAGCCAGTTTCCTAGAAAAATGTGAATTGCTCAGTATCCTCTCCTGTTGAGTCTGGACTCATAGGTCCAATATTATTTCTCTCAGTATCTTTAGATTGATATATTCTCTAGTTCACATAGAATTTTTTTAAGTTTTTATCATAGGCATTGATACCTTCCCTCTTAGGACTTAATCGAGGAGCTATCTTTTCAAGTTTTTAAGGTCTTCTGACTGAAGAATACCTATTAGGCTTTACTCTGTATTAGACAAGCTACATATCAGATAGTCTTTCATTTGATCTTCGACTGTAATAGCTTGTGAACTATGGTGGATTCTATGTATTTGGGTCTTGCTTTGAACTAAAGGCTAAGACCATTTCACTATTCTCTATTTTTTGGTTTTGATTTTCCTCTAATTATCTTGGTTTAATAGCAAAGGTATTGTTAAACTAATGATTGATTCTATGATCCAAATTTGTATTATCAAGCATATAAGTCTATTTGAGTTGATACTCTTAGTTATCCATCAACCTTCTTTTTATCAGAGATCGTTTTTATAGGTTGCTGTTGCTATCAATTACTTGCTAAGGAGTGTTTTTCATAAATGAATTTTTCATTGAAGACCAAGGTAAATCTTATAGAGCAGAGGGGTATTTGAGATAGAAGTTAGCAGCAGTTTCATTCTTTATTGATCTCTAGTTACTTCCATGCCTGCTATTCGCAGCAGATACATGCTTGAAAACTGAGATTTGCCTTTTTGAGTCTCTCAGATGAAACTTTTCCTCCTGCATTTACATCTTCATCTCTATTTCTTTAACAGTATTCTTTATAGTCTCAGCAATCGGTACTTATTGCTCCAAACTTTCTGAATATTCAATAGCATTTTTATAAGCTTCCAGGGCTCCCTTGTAATCTTTTAAATACTCAAACTCTACTCCAAGGTTGTGATAAGCAACTATTAATGTCTAATACATGTTCTTAAGAAAGTCCTATTTTTTAGTGCTAGGGTTACTTTGAATATGAATGTCATTCTCTTAGAAATCTGCTTTACTTGCCTAGAGTGAGTCATTTATTTCTTGTTCAGGTTCCTCCTGAATTTGGCCTATATCTGTACTTGCTTTTTTATGTTTAAATTAATATTCTTTAATCTACTAGCGAAGAATCTTTATCCCATATTAGGCATGCTAAATTGCCTCGTTATGCTTATTTAGCTTTGACAGGACAGCACATATATTGAGTTCAGTAGTTGCCCTTGAGATGTCACTTGTGCTTAAGATATTTTCGTTCCTTTGAGCCTTTTTCATGTAATGCAATGCAACTTATGGCGAATTCATCCTATTATGATTAATTAACAGCATGTTGATATGTGAAGATGATAAGATTATTAAAATAGCTAGAGTTAGGAAGCTGTCCTCTTTTGAAAGATTATGTACTATAACTTACTTCTTATAATAGCAGCCAAGATTGTTTTGAGTCATGCTTTGCAAAATAAAGTAGCTTCCTTGCCATTCATGATCTGACTTGACCATTTTCGAGGGATTCTTTTCCTTAAGAATCCGCTCTGCATTCTTCAACAATCTGTGGCACTCCTCGTTTTAATTTTATTTCAGATGCAGCATGGCTTATTTGTTAAGGTCAACCACCATCTCTTAGATTTATTGGTCTGATAGCTCTGTAGTATTAATTGGGGACACATCTCTTGTTTTAGGGGAGGTCTACCTTTGACTTAGTGGATTTGTAATAAATTATTGAGTCTGAGTATTGTAAAAACCGGCTTTGATATGCTTCACCACCTGATTTGGTTTCTTATCAATCTTCAACGGAATTTAATATTGAATTCCTAAATTTTTAGCTAAAGCATAAGAATATACCTTTAATTGGACTATCTGGGAAGTTTCTAGGACTAAAATTATCATTTGAGAGTCTTTTTTAATAAAAGTACTTGCTAGTCTTAACTGGGCTAAACTTCTAATGAGTATCGCTCATTATGTTATTATTATTAAAAAAATATAATTAGAAAATGATGATAAAATAAGAGATAAAGGATTCTCACATGATAAGTGAGTTGAACATTGATTCGTTCTATCCAAGAATTCCAGATTTCTCATGTGCCTATTCAGCTTTTCAACCCTAAACTATGAGCAAGAAAGATATAATACAGTTTCTTCCTCATATTGACTAAATATGAATCATCAGATCTTAGTGGATTCATGACTCTAAGTAAGCGCATCAAATCAATTAACTCTCATTATAGAATAATGCCTGGACATAGAGAATACGAGATTAAAACTATCTTTAACCTGAATCCTTGTGAGACCAATATGTCTTAAATACTTGAGACTCACATAGTTAAGAAGAGATACTCTGACTTTGAGTAATTATATGAATTATTGGTCAATAATTATTTGGAATGCCTGCTGCCACCCTTACCAGAAAAGTCTATACAGAATTTCACCTCAGATGAAGATTCAGATTTCGTGAGGATACGCCAAAGAGAGTTAGAATACTTCTTAAATCGCCTAAATAATCACAAAAAACTAAGTTATGTTCAAGAATTTAGAGATTTTTTAAGAGAGATAACCACTCCTTCAGGCAATTAGTAAAAGCAATCTCCGAATTCGTTGCTCAATATGAAGAAATTTTTGCAGCCTCAACTAGTCAAAGACAGCTTGTATAGTTTCTAAAAAAATTCTTATGTAAAATATGGATATAGCTTGCTATAATGGGGCTAACAAGGTCCAGATTACAATTAACTGTAGAAAGCTGTGAATGATGATTTAGAAAGAGAGTATCAATCAGAATTAGTTAGTCATGTTTAATTGCTATTGACAAGATTAGACAATCTTGTCCACAATCTAACCAAGCAATCACTAGTCTTCATGAAGTAATCAGTTGCTCTGAAAAATGTGGCAGATATGTATGAAAAATTTGAAATACAAAGGGAAAAATGCTATGACTTAGATATGGACTAGAGTCATTCAAGCACCTACCAAGAGAGTCTAACCAAACTGGCTAAAAATTCATCAGATACACATCAATTTTATTAAGATCGTGTCCTTGCTGATTTAAAGTTTTTCCACAGATTTATTAAGGCTATTGATCGCTAAATCTGGAAACGAGAAGAGCTTATTGATGCCTTTAATAGAATATAGGAGAAGAGATAAAGCAATCTTTGGAGTAAATAAAATGAATAAAATTTAGTTGAAATGAAGCGAAAGATCTAAAAGGTTACAAAGAGACAGCTTGAGGAATACACAGTGATTCATTAGGAAATAATCAGAAGCATCAGTGTTTCAGTGAAAATGCTTGGAAGCAATCACGCCATATATTATAGTTAACTTTGAATAATGTGAATTGAAGCTAATGTAAATGCATAAGTCTAAGAAATTATTTGACATTAAGTTTTTTTCTCTCTTAATATTTAAACTAACGATACTCATTTAATCAAATATTAAAATTCCAATTAAAAATTGATTAATAAAATTTGAAGCATCAGAGGTAGAAATGGATGCATCTTTGTGCAGCAGTGATGAGGAAGATTACTCTTCAGTCAGATCAAAATTAGATAGTTTTAATAAGCCAATTTAAGATGATTCTAGAGTAGATGAAGATATAATTTATTAGCCTTAGAATACACCCTAAGGAATGATAGTGAGTTTAATTTACATATCTGACACGAAATGGAAAACTGATAAGTAAGTAAATTTAAGCTAAAATAAATTTCTCTAACTCCAAATTCAATAGGCAAATAGCAGGTGGACACAGAGAGTACGAAATTAATTGCAATATAAAGGGTTCCATTATATAAAGTTCTGTGAGTTAAGATAATAATGACCAAACGGATGAAAAGAGACATAGCGTATAAAGAAGGTTTAAAGATTTCAGATAATTTTAAAGGTTATTACGCACAAATTACTTGGACTTTATTGTACCCCCATTGCCTAAGAAATCCATTAGAGACAAAGTTTCTCAAGATGAGTCACTTTTTGTTACAAAGAGAAGATAAACACTTCTTTTATTCCTTAATCGAGTAGCTGATCATCCTATCCTAGGCTAAACAGAAGAATTCGTAGAATTTTTAACTGATCAAAAATACTATCATCAAATATAAGACGAGTCTGGACTTACGAGTCGCCTAAAAAGCTTTTGGAATAACACTCCGAAACTCTAAAGCATTCTAATTAATTAAAATTATTGCTAGACTAAGCAAGTCCCAGACTCAGTTTCATAAAACATCATAGCTGATATCAAGCTTGAACAAGAGTATTAGATTTCAGTGGTCAGTAATTCGCTGTATCTAAAGCAAAATTTAGATCAAATAGAAAAAGTATTGAAAAATCAAGTTATTATATTGGATAAGAAAGTCAGATCACTTTCTAAGTTAAACGGACTCATTAAAAGTATATAAGAACTTGGTATATAAGATTACTAAGTTTATAAAGAAACATAGACCAAGAATGATATCTTTTACACAGATAACGATGAAGTCTAAGATAGTATAAAGCACTTTCATTATGAAAACATTCAATAGCTGTCTCTATATAAAAATGAACTGCTAATCGAATCTATCAGCTTTTATAAGAGATATCTAGAGTCACTGCATAAATCAGTCGATTTAAGGCAGGACTTTATTAATAAATTTTCTGAAAAATAGCATGAAATGACAAAGGAAAAAAAGAAATAGCAGCATCAAAGGATTAAAGATGTCACACGAGGGCACATTGATGAATATTAGCGACTGTGCTCTGAAATTGAAACTAAAATTATACTTAATCTAGGTATAGTTGGTAATCATTACTCTAGCTTGTACTTTTGAATACTTTTTTCCTATATTATACCAATAAAAATTGTTCTTACAATGTCCTGCGGGGTTTTGGGGTTTTGGGGTTTTGGGGTTTTAGGG